TAATGTCACGACTTGGTACGGCGTCTAGTCCGTTTTTAATTTTTTCCTTTTCGCGGGCTCGAACCCGCGACCTCTGTACTACCTGCCTGATATGGACGCGTCACTATCTACTGTACGATTAGATTAGATGGGGCGGCAGCGCACGGCACAGCTCGGGCCCCGCTGACACAGCCGCTCTGACTCACCGGCCCCCGTGGCCGCGTCGGCATGCTGCGCACAGACCAGCTGCGCACGGACCAACGTGCACAGCCTGCCCTAATCTCCCCATGTATATAAGCCGGCCTCTGCTGCCCTAGGGACCTCAGTTTCGACCTCTTGTCCCTAGGTCAGTAAGCTCCTGTATTCTCTCATTTACCTTACACTAACTAATACATTTTCTTGTCCCTAGCCTTAGGTTTGAGCGCTGCTCACCATCGCTTCGGTGAGATTTAGTCGGACGCCCCCAGCTTTCAGATCTTCCCCTGTCGCTTGACCTCAAGTCGCGACAGCCCCAAGCGCAAGTATCAACCGGTGGATTGTCTTGATTCTCACATTCCATTTCACACTAGTCCACGTCCCCGGTACAATGCATGGCCCCGACGGCCTCTCTCGACGCACAGCTCAACCCGGTGATGTCATCGAAGATGAGGTTGACGAAGAGTTCGACGATTGGATCGACCAGATGCATTCTTTCGTTCATCAGATTCAGCCCCTCCCGTCCGTCCCTTTGCTAGCCATCTTCACGAATGACAGAGCCGAGGACGGCTCCGATTTCAATAGGGAGGAGGATAGCTACAAGCTAGTGCCTCGATCGGAGCAAGCACAACTCGCAGATGCAAAGCTTGACGACGTGCTCGAATTTCATCGAACATTAGCAAAGCCCAACGGCATCTCCGAAAGTGTTTACGAAGGATTCATCAAGTACTGCATGCACTTCTTCCTCGACAACGACACCCTCTGGCGCAAGGACAGTCACGGAGCACACAAGCTAGTCATCAAGCCCGGCGATCGCCTTCGAATACTTCGAGAATGCCACGACCGCACCATGCATCGAGGAATTTATGCAACCCGAGCCTTCGTCAATGAGCGATTCTGGTGGCCGTTCCACTACGCCGACATCGCTTGGTTCGTTCGATCGTGCCATATCTGCCAGTCTCGACAAGTGCGTCAAATCCTCATTCCTCCAACTGTCACAGTACCAGCCCCCATTTTCGCGAAAATTCACATCGACACAATGCACATGCCGGCCTCGGGCGGATACAAGTACTTGGTCCAGGGTAGATGCTCGCTCACGACTTACCCCGAGTTTTGAATGCTTCGAAAAGAGACAGCAAAGGCCCTCGCTGACTGGATCTTCGAAGACATCCTCTGTCGATGGGGCACGCTCAGTGAGATCGTCACCGACAACGGTACGGCGTTCATCAAGGCGGCCGATTACCTTTCGAAGAAATACCACATCAACCATATTCGAATCAGTGGGTACAATTCGAGGGCGAACGGTCTCGTCGAACGTCCGCACTTCAGCACGCGACAAGCCTTGTTCAAGACAGCCGACGGAGATGAGAAGAAATGGTCCCAAGCTGCGTACTTTGTATTTTGGTCCGAGCGCATCACGACTCGACGACGCATGGGCTGCTCACCCTACTTCGCTGTTACGGGCACCCATCTGCTCATTCCTCTCGACATTGTCGAAGCTACGTACCTGCAACCACCACCAACTTCGGTCCTTTTGACAACCAATCTCATTGCCCGAAGGGCCATTGCGCTCCAGAAATGCGTCGAGCAAGTCACCGAACTCCACTCGAAGGTCTACAAAGCACGTCGAACTGCAGCAATTCGCTTTGAGAAAGAGCACGAGCACTCAATCCAGGATTTCGACTTCAAACGCGGAGCCCTAGTGCTCATATGCAACACGAAGATCGAGAAGTCCCTCAACCGCAAGATGCGCCCGCGATACCTAGGCCCCCTCATCGTTGTTTCGTGCAACAAGGGCGGCGCGTACATCGTATGCGAACTCGACAGTACAGTCCTCGATCGACCCATCGCAGCCTTCCGCGTCATTCCGTATTTCGCGCGCAAATCCATTCCAATCCCTGAAGATCTCGAAGATGTCTCGACCGAGCGTCTTCGAGAACTCGAACTATCGAATTCTCTAGGCGACGACGACGATGATGAAGTCGAAGAAGCCGAAGAACGCGACGAATAGAGGTTCTTCCCTTTTATTACTCGTACAACACGATACGTATTTTCTTCTCTCCATTCCTGCTCTCACGTTACGCGATATGTTTGATTTTTCTCCTACGTTTCAGACCACCCCTTGTACGAATATCTTCGATTCAACTCGATAGTCGCGACATCGTTCGACGTTCTACGAACGCTTCGATTCGACCGTTGCGCGGAGGCTCACCTTAGACGAGTCCTCCTAGGCGGTGATGACAAACTGAGCCTATAGTTTCATTAAGTCCATTTTCCTTCGCTACGAACGTTATTATTTCGCCTTCTATGTCCTTCGATCATATTACGACAGGCTTCGAACACTTATTTTCATTTTCTTTTCTTAGTTCCCGCTAGGTTCCATCTAGGCCAAGGGGCGCATTGTCCATTCGACCATCTACGCAATGTTCTACGACATGAGGACAACTACACTAAAATACGACCCGCACCATCGCCTACTCCTCATCGACAGCCCCGTGCACGAAACCGATTCCGCCCTTTGCAAGCGCGGCCTTCTCCATCTTCTGGAGGTCGAGGTCCATGTCATGTAGGAGCGCTCGACGGCGAGCGATGTGAGCGCGCTCCTCGCGGATGACGTGGATGATCCCCCGAGATTCATCGTCGAGGTCGAGCGCGTCAAGGTCGTCTTGTTCGAGGCCGAGGCGGCTGGCCCCATCGAGTGGCAGTCATAGAAGGGGGCGCGGAGGATCGTCGACTCGGCGCTTCTTCGAACCACCCAAGTCCGCGATCGAAGGCCCAGGAGAGGCCGGCCGAACTACCACAATGTCAGCCAAAGTTTAGGACAACCAGAAGAAACCACTTACTGCGCTTTTTGGTGGTTGATCCCCCGCCGCGCATCTTCTTTGTCTTGCCCAGGACAGACACTTTGTCGAAATAGCAGCCCTGTTGGAACTGCGCGCACCTCTCGCAGGTCGTAGCGTTCTCGACCCACACGCAATTGACCGGGGCCGAGCGGTAGCCGGCGCAACGATCGCACTATCAAAGAGTTAGCTTCGAACCGACTCGACAGAGCATCGAACGTACCTTCTGTCCGGCCTGACACTTTTCAATCGCCGCGGCGGCCATGTCGGCCTCCGTCATTGCGAACGGGTGTTTGACCGTCCGAGGAGTCTTCTACGAAAGAAAGATTAGTAATTGAAGGACGGTAGAAGAGAAACACTTACGATCGAAGGGTCATCCGACAACTCGGTGACCTCCTCGTCGACCCTTGCGCGCCCTTTCCCCTTGTCGACACCGGCAGGCGCGGGGTCAGAGAGAAGGCCTTCGGCGGCCGCAATCCGCGCCAACTCCTCATCGGCGGCCTCTTGTGCGCGACGCTTGTCTTCGGCCTGCTTCCGACGGTCCTCTTCGTCCTTCCGACGCCGTTCGTCTTCGAGGCGACGTTCCTCGGCGGCCTTCGCACGCTTCGCGGCCTCTTCGACGCGTCGTGCTTCCTCCTCGGCGAGGCGCCTCTGTTCTTCGAGGCGTCGTTTGACCTCGGAGTCGATGGCAGTTGCGAGCTCGGGCCAGTCGCCGCGCGCCCACTCGACCAACGACCCTGACGCCCGCTCGGCGAGCTGTTTGACAGCGGCGGCGACGCGCAACTCCGTCTCCTCGTCGCAAATGGCGCCCAGGGCCTTGCGATAGGCAAGCTATTCGAAAACAAAACGGTTAGTTGGGTTATGCAGATTACGAGCGACTTACGACGAGCGGCGACAAATCTTGCGCCCACTCCTCAACCACGTCGAGCGCGGCGTCGGCGGTCGGCAGAGCCTCGAGGACCACGAGCAGCGAGGCGAGGCGGCGGTTGACGAGCGAAGGCGTCGAGGCAGGGGTGGCGGAGCGAGCAGACATCGTGGAAGCAGCGAGTATACGAGAGAGGGCGACGAGGTAGCGACGAAGGAACGATGGGATGGGGAAAATGAGGCTAAGTCTACCCTGCTTATAACCCCTTTCCGACCAGCATTTAGCGCCGGCCACGTGGCGTTCGAAGTCTACACGGGTTGCCAGGCTGCTTCGATCCGTTCACGACCATCGCGCTTCTCGCATCACGTGGAGGACCGAGGGCAGTCCAAATTTCAATAGGGAGGAGATGATAGGCACCAAGCCCCTCTGGGCCCCAATACACCTCTTTTCAGCAGTCGCATCCCGCCCGGCACTTCGACAGTCTCCCAACAGTTTGATTTCGCCTTCGACGCTCTTCGACATTGTCGACGGTGCGCGACGCTTACTCGAAACTCGGCACGGTCGTTCCGATGCCTCGCGCGTAGATCTTGGAGCATCTTCCGCATTCGGCAAACAATAGGGCCACTTGACGCCGCTCATCCAAGCACGCGCATCGCTCCCTGCCACACCGACGTAGCCGGTCTTTCCCGATTAGGTATCAAACCTCGCGGCATGCCTTCAACGATGGATACCGGTCCGAAGTGGCCATATGTTGCTCTTCATCTCCGCATTCGGCATGACGTCACTCTACCGATGAACTTGGTATGTGCCTCTCGGTGAGGCAGCTTCTTGAGGAACAATGCAAAGCCCCTTGTACCAGTGTGCCACTCTCGAATAGTCGTAGCGTCCTGTGTAGTATAAAATCTGTCGTACTTCTCTCCAAAAAAAAGAAGATCCGATTCCCCCCTCGAGTTCAGAGCTCATAAGTCGAGTTTGCCCCGCGTCTAAGCCTCCAACTGCGTCACTTCGTCCCTCGCTGCGTAACTTCGAAACCTCGTCCACTGCGTTTACTCGTCGATACCGTCTCGATGAACCCTCCGACTCCGACTATTGTCGAAGAAACTACGAACCGTGTCCTAGCTAAGTCCACCCTATCAAGTCGTGTCCCTTCCTTCTACGATACATCGAAGAGCTCTGCCGAGCTTCAATCGTTGCTAACTTTCCACAGCCTCCGAGTAGCTTCGACAACGTGTCGAAGCCCCCTCGTACCTTCCCCATTATTCGTAACCTTTCCCAAGGGCGTTTCTCGTGTTCACTCGAACCGCGGGACACCTTGCTGCTAACTCCCCTCTCATTAGACTATAAGCCGTCTCTCTAGTCCCTTTAGGTCGCACCCAGGTTAGGGGTTAGGGCTTCGTAGGTTGTATCACCGGGCCCGTCGGCCCGAGCTGAACAACTTCTTCTCAACGCGAGGTCGAGGACGCGGAGGGGCACGTGGTGGTGCTCCCCAATCACACCTAGCTTCGGCCAGCATCAATGCGGCCGTCAGAAAAGGAAACTTCCCTGGCAGTTGTTACGGCTGTGGAAAGCAAGGGTACCAACGCTTCGAGTGCCCCAATTGTAAGGACAAGCCTTACACAAAACGCGCCGACGCGCGGGCTACGGTTGCCTCTGTCACGAGTTGGTACGGCGCCTAGCCGTTTTTTAATTTTTTCCTTTTCGCGGGCTCGAACCCGCGACCTCTGTACTACTTGCCTGATACGGACACATCATATCTACTGTATGATTAGATTAGATAGGACGGCAGTGCGCGGCACAGCTCAGGCTCCGCTGACATAGCCACTCTGACTCACCGGCCCCCGGGGCCGCGTCAGCATGCTGCGCACGGACCAGCTGCGCACGGACCAGCTGCGCACGGACCAGCTGTGCACGGACCAGCGCGCACAGCCTGCCCTTATCTCCCCATGTATATAAGCCAGCCTCTGCTGCCCTAGGGACCTCAGTTTCGACCTCTTGTCCCTAGGTCAGTAAGCTCCCATGTATCTGCTTACTTACCTATACTAACTAATATACTTTCTTGTCCCTAGCCTTAGGTTTGAGCCTCGCTCACCATCGCTTCGGTAAGAACCAGTCGGACGCCCCTCGCTTCCAGATATTCCCCTGTCGCTCGACCTCAAGTCGCGACATTAGGTCGAAACTCCACAAAGCGACCGGCGTTCTCTCGGAACCCCACACTCACTTTCCTTTCCCATAGGTCGGGTGGTGCGCACCCATACGGTACACTACGATACATAGATAGCCTACAATACATCGCCAACACTCGAGAGACAAACTCTTCAGTACCTGCACTTCAGTGGGCGGTACTTGTCCTCACGGACGCGTAGCCTTGGTTCCTGCTGCATAATAGTCAAAAGCAGTATTGGGCCCTACGTGAACTACGAATCTCAGTGTCATCTCGGGCGCCGTAGGGGTAAGCTAGTATAGCACGGCCTTTCGTAGTACGCGCACCTCCCCTTCCTCCCCCCCATCCAACGTGGCTGCCTGCCAAGGCCAAGTCCACGCATTCGACTCACAGGACCTCGTCGACGTCTACATCCCAGACGGTCCTGAGACTATCATCTACCGTTGCGAGCAGCAACCGTGCCCGAACCGAACCCCCCGATCGATCCCAGAGGACTACCCGCGCTACAAAGCGATCCGACGAGCGCAACACCCGCTCGGACCCCGAAGCACCCTCGCATCTCGATTAGCCTCGCGGCACTCTCGCCCTGTCTCCCCTAGCTCCCGTCTCCCTCAAACTGTCATCACCGATCCAGATCAAGCGCGAGGAGATCTGCCTCCAGACCCTGCGCCAGAGCCAGAGCCTGAGGAGAGTGAGGGTGAAGAAGGAGTCTCGGAGTCCGAGTCCGAGGATTCTGTTGGGTCCGCCTCGCCGACAGCGTTCGCCCCCGCGTCAGCAGTCCCTGACGTATGTGACCCCCCTGCCGAACTTCCTCCGGTGCCTTCACCGCCGACTCCGCCGAGAGGCCGCTCGAGCACTCGCTCCTCTCGAAGTTCGGCCAGCCGAAGGCCACCACAGCCGCCTCCGCCCCCGCAACGTCCTCCGTCCCCCCCGACACCAATAATGTCGTCCCCTGCAGCCGCCCCCGACAAGGAGACCCTGAAGCTCCTCCTCCCCCTCCGCTATGACGGCAAAACCGTCATCGAATGCGACAGGTTCTTGTCGCAACTTCGTATCTACTGGTTGATCAACACGTCGTTGACGACCATTGAGCTTAAGGTACAAGTTGCGCTAAGCCTGCTCGATGGCGACGCCCGCGCCTGGGCCACGCCTTACTTCGCCCAACTCGCATCAGTGCAGATGGGTGTGCAAGGGGTTACAACCCCCTTCAGGAACGAAGCGGCCTTCACCGCTGCCTTCAAGGCTCGCTTTGGCAATCTCGACGATGCGGCAGTAGCCCAGGTAGAGCTGGCGAAGCTCTGCGCGGACAAGTCGGTCCGCGAAAAACGCACTGTGGCGGAGTTCTCCGCGCTGTTCAAGGGTCCGGCGGACCATTCCGGGTATGGGGACCTGGAACTACGCGACAAGTACCTGAGCGGCATCCCCTCCTGCGTATATCGCAAGATCGAGCTCGAAACCTTCACCACGTGGCGAGCCGCTGAAAAGCGAGCCACTGAGGTCGAGCAGATCCTCGACATCAGCCGGGCCCGTCGGCCCGAGCTAAACAACTTCTTCTCGGCACGAGGTCGAGGACGCGGAGGAGCACATGGTGGTGCACCCCCATCCATGCAGCTTCGGCCAGCATCAATGCAGCCGTCGGAAAAGGAGACTTCCCCGGCACATGCTTTGGCTGCGGGAAGCAAGGGTACCGTCGTTTTGAGTGCCCTAATTGTAAGGATAAACCTTACACAAAATGCGCCGACGCGCAGGCTACGGTTGCCTCGGGTTCCACCCAGGCGGCGACAAGCGCCCCCGTCGCTTCATCCTTGGCGAGTACAAGCGCTGCTTCAGCGAAATTGGAAAGTTCCGAGCTGGCGGACTTAATAGCACAGATGAAGTCGATGCGCGAGGAGCTCGAGCACTATCGGGCAATGAAGGAGGAGTCTTTTTGATCCGGTCCGTGCTTCGTGCCGCACGCGTCGGGCCGCGTAATAATAATCTGTACAATGTATTGGCAACTGCAAATGTGTACAAGTTGGACCATGGGTCCCAGCATTTCCACATCCCGGTGCGCCTTAAAGGAGAAAGACGGCACAAGGATATAGTTGCAATGGTGGACAGTGGAGCCACCACGAAGTTCATCAACAAGTGTTTCATCACGGAGAATTGAGTACAAACGCGGAAATTGAAAGAACCAATTCCGCTGTACAATATCGATGGAACACTCAATAAAGACGGAAGCATCTCGGAGGTAGCCGTACTACAGATGCAGATAGGAGAACACGTCGAGAAGACGGTGTTTACGGTCACGGACATAGGTCCAGAGGATGTGATCGTCGGGTTGGATTGGCTACGAGAGCACAACCCTGAAATTGACTGGGAGTCAGGCTCCCTAAAGTTATCACGATGCCCTGAGACGTGCAGTGCCAGGAAAACTAACCGGATGGAGCAAGCAACGACTGTGCGTGATACGGGGGTCAGGCCCACGGCACGCAGGCATTCGCTGAAGTCCAAACGGTCGGTTATAGGTGCCTGCCGGAGTAAGGTACTCCCAGACTTCGAACCCGAAGAAGATCCGGTGGAGGTAGAGTGGGACGAAGCCGATTTGATCGAAGCCTGGGAGCAAGGTGTCACGCTTCCCGGCGCTCCTCAGCTGTTCGTCGCAGCAGGACATACATACTCCCAGCTGTTTGCTGAGGAGGAGATCAAAAAGAAGGTCGTTAAGACCGCCGAGGAGTCGGTACCTAAACAGTACCACGAGTTCCTGAATGTCTTCTCCAAAGAAGCATCAGAACGGTTACCCGAAAGGAAGCCATACGATCATGCGATCGAACTCGTGCCCGGCTACTCGACCTTCCACTCTAAGGTGTACCCCTTGTCGAACAACGAGCAAGAGGAACTAGACAAGTTTCTAAAAGAGCAACTAGCGAAGGGCTACATACGGGAGTCGAAGTCGCCCATTTCATCCCCCTTCTTCTTCATCAAAAAAAAGGAAGGGACGCTTCGACCCGTACAGGACTACCGCCGATTGAACGCGATCACGGTCAAAAATCGTTACCCCTTGCCGTTGATCGCCGAGATGGTGGATAAGCTCCGCGGTGCCACGCTCTTCACCAAGTTCGATGTCCGATGGGGATACAACAACGTCCGGATCAAAGCCGGTGACGAGTGGAAGGCGGCCTTTGTGACTAACCGAGGGTTGTACGAGCCCTTGGTGATGTTCTTCAGTCTCACCAATTCCCCCGCGACCTTCCAGGCGATGATGAACGAGATCTTCCACAATCTCATCGTTGGTGGCAAGATCCTCGTATACCTGGATGACATACTCATCTTCTCCACCAACAAGAAGGAGCACGAGAAGGTCACACGCGAGGTTCTTCGTCGCCTTCAGGACAATGATCTGTTCCTGAAGCCTGAGAAGTGCGAATGGGATGTTCCCAAGGTCGACTATGTTGGCTATGTGTTCGGTGGCGATGAGGTAGCAATGGATCCCACGAAGCTAAAAGGAATTAATGAGTGGCCGGTACCCCGAAACAAAAAGGATGTTCAGAAGTTCCGGGGGTTCTCCAACTTCTATTGCCACTTCATCAAAGACTTTGCTAAGATCTCGCGACCACTCGACCGGCTCACAGGGAACGACCCATGGCATTGGGGCAAGGAAGAGCAGCATGCCTTCGATGAGCTCAAGCGGCTCTTCGCGACAACTCCAGTCTTGGCGTTGTATGACCCTAACTGGGAGACACGCATTGAGGTTGATGCCTCGGGCTATGCCACTGGCGGCGTGTTGATGCAGAAGCAGGATGACGGCAAATGGCATCCCATCGCCTTCAGATCCCATGCGATGGATCCGGCACAGCGGAACTACGAGATCTACGATAAGGAGATGCTCGCGATCATTGAGGCACTAGACGATTGGCGCCATTATCTCGAGGGTCTGCCCAATCAGTTCGAGATCGTCACTGATCACAAGAACCTCGAATACTGGCGCACGTCCCAGCACCTCACGCGTCGTCAAGCGCGATGGTCACTGTTCCTAGCACGCTTCGACTTCCGCATCACGCACAAGGCCGGGACGTCCAATGGAAAGGCTGATGCCCTGTCACGTCGATCAGACCACCAGGTCGGCGATGAGGACGATAACACCGATCAGGTGGTTCTCAAGCCAGAGCGCTTCCGCATCGCCTCCGCTAGGCGCGGTCACGCCTCGGTGACGGCCGATCAGTCACTTCTGAAGCGCATCAGGGAATGTTCGGAGAAGGATCGGGAGGTGGCCGAGGCCCTTGAAAAGGTACAGGACCTCGGGCCGCCCCGGCTGCAAAGGGGTTTTGAGGAGTGGAATGCCGAACAAGGGCTTTTGCTGTTCCGCGGGTGCGTGTACGTCCCAAAGAATGCGGAGCTCCGGCGGGATATCGTTAAGATCCACCACAACTCGCCGATCGCCGGTCATGGTGGTCGTGCCAAAACCCTGGAGCTCGTGTCGCGGAATTACTGGTGGCCTGGGATGTCCAAATTCGTCAATGAGTACGTAAGCACCTGTGACGTGTGCAACCGTACCAAGACATTCCCAGCCAAGCCCCAGGGTCCGCTGAAGCCGAACGAGATCCCCGAGCGCCCGTGGCAGATCATCACAACCGATATGATTGTCGGCTTGCCGAAGTCTGATGGGTTCGACTCGATCCTGGTTACCGCTGACCGCTTTACCAAGCAGGTCCACTTCTCAGCCTGTCATGAGACCCTGACGGCAGAAGGTGCTGCCAACTTGTACATCTGCGATGTGTTCAAGCATCATGGGGCCCCGGCCAAGGTCATATCAGACCAAGGTCCCCAGTTCGCTTCGAAATATCTCCATGTGGTGTACAAGGGACTAGGGATCGAGCCGGCGCTGTCCACAGCGTTCCACCCCCAGACAGACGGCCAGACTGAGCGCTGGAATTAGGAAATTGAGCAGTACCTGCGTGCTTTCACAAGCCACAGGCAGGATGATTGGGCGAAGCAGTTGCCACTCGCGGAATTCGCACTGAACAACCGAGTTCACTCCACGACCGCGCACTCCCCTTTCTACCTGCATCAAGGGTACAATCCTGAGATCCAAGTGCGGATCAATCCGATGTCTGCAATGCCTGCGGCCGCTGATCGGCTCAAAATCCTGAAGGAGATTTGCGATGACACACGCTCTGCGCTCGAGCTGTCAGTGTCGCGACTTAGGGTCAAGCGACAGGGGAACACCAGACAAAGGCACTGGGGGCGTTCGACTTAGTTCTTACCAAAGCGATGGTGAGCTGGGCTCAAACCTAAGGCTAGGGACAAGAAAATGTATTAGTTAGTAAGGTAAGAAAGGATACAACTGAAGGCTTACTGACCTAGGGACAAGAGGTAGAAACTGAGGTCCCTAGGGCAGCAGAGGCCGGCTTATATACAGGAGAGGTTGAGGGCAGGCTGTGCGCACTGGTCCGTGTGCAGGTGGTCCGTGCACAGCATGCCGACGCGGCCCCAGGGGCCGGTGAGTCAGAGCGGCTATGTCAGCGGAGCCCAAGCTGTGCCGTGCACTGCCGTCCTATCTAATCTTATCGTACAGTAGATAACGACGTGTCCATATCAGGCAGGTAGTACAGAGGTCGCGGGTTCAAGCCCGCAAAAAGGAAAATTAAAAAGCAGCTAGATGCCGTATCAACTCGTGACACCAACCAGCGGAGGGCCACCACAGCTGCCTCCGCCCCCGCACCGTCCTCCGTCCCCCCCGGCGCCAATAATGTCTTCCCCCTCTACCGCCCCCGACAAGGACACCCTGAGGCTCCTTCTCCCTCTCCACTAGGACGGCAAAACCATCATTGAGTGCAACAGGTTCCTGTCGCAACTCCGCATCCACTGGTTGAACAACACATCATTGACAACCATCGAACTTAAGGTGCAGGTTGTGCTGAGCCTGCTCGATGGTGATGCCTGCGCCTGGGCCACTCCATACTTTGCCCAATGGCATCGGTGCAGATGGGTGTGCAAGGGGTCACAACCCCCTTCAGGGATGAAGCAGCCTTCACTGCCACCTTCAAGGCTTGCTTCGGCAATCTCGACGATGAGGCGGCAGCACAAGTAGAGCTGGCGAAGCTCTGCGCAGACAAGTCGGTCCGTGAGAAACGCACTGCTGCAAAATTCTCTGCACTGTTCAAGGGTCTGGCAGACCGTTCCAGATATGGAGACCTGGAACTATGTGACAAGTACCTGAGCAGCATCCCCTCCCGTGTTTATTGAAAGATCGAGCTCGAGACCTTCACCACGTGGCAAGCAGCTGAGAAGCGCGCCACTGAGGTCAAGCAGATCCTCGACATCAGCCGGGCCCGTTGGCCTGAGTTGAACAACTTCTTCTCGGCATGAGGTCGAGGACGCGGAGGGGCACATGGTGGTGCACCCTCATCACACGGAGCATTGGCCAGCATCAATGCAGCCGTTGGAAAAGGAAACTTCCCTGGCAGCTGCTTCGGCTGTGGGAAGCAAGGGTATGGTGTTTTGAGTGCCCCAATTGTAAGGACAAGCCTTATACAAAATGCGCCGATGCGCGGGCTACGGTTGCCTCGGGCTCCACCCAGGTGGTGACAAGCGCCCCCATCACTTCACCCTCGGCAAGTATAAGTGCTGCTTCAGCGAAATCTGAGCAATCGGAGCTGGCGGACTTAATGGCACAGGTGAAGTCAATGCACGAGGAGCTCGAGCACTATCAGGCAATGAAGGAGGAGGGTTTTTGATCCGGTGATGCAATCTACGTAACCCTAACCCCTGACCTGGTACAACCTAAAAGGACTAGAGGCAGGTTATTATCTTTAGTGAGAAAGAGTTAGCAGCAAGGTGTCCCATGGTGTGAACACGAGAAACACCCTCGGAAAAGGCTACAAACACTAGGGAAGGTACGAGGTGGCTCGACATGTCGTCGAAGCTACTTGGAGGCTGTGGGTGGTTAGTGGAGACGATCAAAGCTCGGTGGAGCTCTTCGATGTATCGTAGGGGGAAGAGACACGATTTGATAGGGTGGACTTAGCTAGGACGCGGTTCGAGGTGCAACGCAGTTTTTCGACAATAGGTGAAGTCGAAAGGTTTGTCGAGATGGTATCGATGAGTAAATGCAGTAGACGAGGTTTCAAGGTTATGCAGCGAGGAATGAAGTGACGCAGTTGAGGGCTTAGACGCAGGGCGAACTCGACTTATAAGCTCTGAACTCGAGGGGGGAACCCGATCTTGCATTTTTGGAGAGAAGTACAACAGATTTTATACTACGCAAGGGACGCTACGACTATTGAGAGTGGCACACTAGTACGAGGGGCTTTGCATTGTCCTGCACGAATCTGCCTCACCGAGTGGCACATATCAAGTCTATCGGTAGAGTGATGTCATGCCGAACACGGAGATGAAGAGAAACATACGAGACACTTCGGACCGGTATCCATTGTTGAAGGCACGCCGCAAGGTTCGACACCTAATCGGGAAAGACTGGCCACGTCGGTGTGGCACGTAGCGATGCATGCGCTTGGACAAATGGCATCAAGTGCCCCTATTGTTCGCCGAATGTGGGAGATGTCCCGAGATCTACGTGCGAGGCATTGGGACGACCGCACCGAGCTTCGAGCAAGCGTCAGGCACTGTTGAAGATGTTGAAGAGCGTCAAAGGCGAAATTGAATTGTTGGGTGACTGAGCCGAAGTGACGGGTGGGATGTGATTGCCAAAAAGAGCTGTATCAGGGCCCAGAGGGGCTTGGCGCCTATCACCGGCCCGCGCTTTGTGCCGCACGCGTCAGGCTGGGTATATCGTGTAACCAGTATAACATATTGTCTTCTGCAAATGTGTACAAGTTGGACCATGGGTCCCAACATTTTCACATTCCAGTTCGACTCAAAGGGAAAAGACGGCATAAGGATATAATCGCTATGGTGGATAGCGGAGCCACCACAAAGTTTATCAACAAGCAGTTCATTACAGAAAATAAGGTGTAGATGCGGAAGTTGAAGGAACCAATTCCACTATACAATGGCAACGGCACCCTCAATAAAGATGGAAGCATCTCGGAAGTAGCCGTGCTACAGATGCAGATAGGAGGACATGTCAAGAAGATAGTGTTTACGGTGATAGGCGCCGAGCCCCGCTGGGCCCCGATACACCTCTTTTCGGCACTCGCATCCCGCCCGGCACTTCGACTCAGTCCCCAACACTTCGATTTCGCCTTCGACGCTCTTCGACGCCTTCGACGGTGCGCGACGCTTACTCGAAGCTCGGCACGGTCTTCCCGATGCCTCGTGCGTAGACCTCGGAACATCTTCCGCATTCGGCGAACAATAGGGCCACTTGACGCCGCTCGGCCAAGCGCGCGCTTCGCTCCAAGCCACACCGAAGTAGCCGGTCTTTCCCGATTGGGTATCGAACCTCGCGGCATGCCTTCACGACGGCTACCGGTCCGAAGTGGCCATATGTTGCTCTTCATCTCCGCGTTCGGCATGACGTCACTCTACTGATGGACTTGGTATGTGCCTCTCGGTGAGACAGGTTCTTGAGGAACAATGCAAAGCCCCTTGTACTCGTATGCCACTCTCGAATAGTCGTAGCGTCCTGTGTAGTATAAAACCTGTCGTACTTCTCCCTAAAAATACAAGA